ACCTGAATGCCCAAGAACAGATGACTGGTTAAAGAAACTTTGGTACATCTACACAATGGAGTACTATGTAGCTCTTAGAAAAGATGAAGTCATGAAATTTACATACAAGTGGTACAATATGGAAAGTATCATGCTAAGCGAAATGAGTCAGAAAGAGAGGGATAGACATAGAAAGATTGCATTCATCTGGGGGATATAAAGTAACAAAGTATGAGATTAATACCCAAGAATAGCTGAGATCAGCACCAGGAGGATTACTCCATAACTTAGAGGCCAGCCGGGTATCCTAGAGGAAAGGGCTATTCAGATAGAGAAGGGAACACCAAATAAAGGATGTTTGGAGGATCCTCCCAGGAGGGGAGATGCATGTCGAAAGTAGACTATGGACTGAACATGTTTGCCACTCAATGCCTCTTTTGCGGACCACAACACCCAAAAGGAGAGAGAGAACACAGGGGATTGCCCTGCCACAGAGACAGGGGGGATGGGGGGATGGGGGTGGGAGGGATATTATCCATGGTGGTGGAAAATGGGCACTGGTGGAGGGATGGGTATCTGATCATTGTATAATTGAAACCAAAGCACAAAAAATTGTAAATCTACAACTTTAAAAAAAATAAAATAAAATAAAGGGGAAAAAATGTCTTATAAAATAGCAGTCTATAAACTTTGAGTTAGCTAAGATAATAATATATATAAAAAAAAGATAATTATTTCTATACAAGAATATATTGTTTTGTTTTTGTTCATTTAGGGTATCTTTAAATATTACGTTGATCTCCTATTTTGAATAACTATAAAATTAGTATATAAATAACTATAAAATTTGAATAACTATATAATTAGGCCTTTGATTCTGTTGAGACGGAAGCGGTCATTGAAGCCCTAGCCAATCAGGGCATTCAAGCCCAATACATCAGGATTGTCCGTGAGCTGTATTGCGGATTCACTACCAGGATCTCACCATTCTACAAAGAAGTGATCGTTGATATCAAGAGAGGGGTGCAGCAGGGTAATACCATTTCACCGAAACTCTTCAGTGCCACCCTCGAGAACATCATGCGACGACTGGAATGGGAAGGAATGGGAGTGAAGATAGATGGTCGGCAACTACACCACCTCCGCTTTGCTGATGACATTGTTTTAATAACACCAAACATCAGCCAAGCAGCACAAATCCTGGCCGACTTTGACCGTGAGTGTGGAAAGGTAGGACTACAGCTGAATCTTACGAAGACAATGTTTATGAGAAACAGCCTTGTTCCTGACGCCCCATTCGCTCTCAATGGAACGACCATCTCCGAATGCTACAGCTATGTGTACCTAGGTCGAGAGGTCAACATGACAAATGACCTGGCACCCGAGCTGTGCAGGAGGAAGAGAGCGGCTTGGAACGCCTTCAAGAATGTCGAAGAAATAGCTAAGAGGACTAAGAACCTCCGGCTCCGGGCACATCTCTTTGATTCCACTGTTCTTCCTGCATTAACATAAGCCTCAGAGACCTGGGCCCTACGCAAACAAGATGAGAATGCTATTCAGGTCTCCCAAAGAAGAATAGAAAGAGCTATGCTTGGAATATCACGTTTCACTCAAATGAGAGAATGAATCCGGAGTTCTGACATCCGTTGACGATCAAGAATCAGGGACGCTGTCTCATTTGCCAAGGTGTCAAAAATCAGATGGGCTGGTCACGTAATGAGATTTAAAGACTACCGCTGGACTAGAGCTGTTACTGACTGGATTCCACGGGATGTCAAAAGACCGCGTGGCCGCCCACCTACCAGATGGTCAGACTTCTTCGTCAAGATCATGAACGATCGGTTTGAGGCCCTTCATGTTCCCGGAGCGAACAGATGCCATTGGGCTACACTAGCACGCGACAGGGACAAATGGAGATGTTACTGGTGCCCGCTCAAGCAAATCGAGGACTAACAGGAAATTAAGTGATTTAAGTGATAAAATTAGTAAATTAAATATGAATGGAAGGAAAACTGATTTTAAACTAATTTTATAGATGCGTCAAAATTGAGGGTATTTTGGAAATAATTTTTATTAAATTGGTGTATACAGACAAATAGTAAGTAATCCAACTTTGTATGTTAAGAAGTAAATATAGGAAGTTTTTTTCTAGTTCATATGGATTAACAGAAAGCAGATTTATCCATCCTCATAAAATAATCTAAACACAAAAGGTCTGAAATGACAGTTTTCAAGAAATTGGATATCAGAAAAGAAGCATAATTATTCCTGGGGTTAAGGAAAGAAATGAGGTTGCCTTATGATTCTCTTGGTTATTTATTTGAGAGAATTTTAGGGCACCACATAGCCAGGAGTGAATCCATGAGAGTCCCCCAAAGTACTGAGTTGTCAAAATGGAGGTGAGAATTCAGGAGACTAATACAATTCACATAACTTTGCTGGGAAGAAAAGGCAACACAGATAGAAAAACATACTTCAAGAAAGTTGAAAGGTAGGCTTTCATACAGGAAGAATAAAAACATCAAACTATAGATAAGAGCTCCAACTACGTAACTGAAAGGATATGTAGGCCTTTTTATTTACTTCTACTCAAAAAGAACTCTATTGTTTTGAATAAAATATAAGAATTATTATAGAGGGGCTGGAGCATAACATAGCGGGTAGGGCAGTTGCCTTGCACACGGCCGGCCCAGTTTCGATTCCCAGCATCCCATATGGTCTCCCGAGTACTGCAAGGAGTAATTACTGAGTGCATGAGCCAGTGGTAACCCCTGTGCGTCACGGGGTGTGACCCCCCCAAAAAAATTAAAAAGAATTATTTTAGGGTAAATAATTGATTCAGAGACGATCAAATTACAATAAAAAAAGTAGAGAAAGTGAGCTGGAAAGATAGAATAGTTAAGGTGACTGCTAATTCTAGTTTGATTCCATATAATACATATTTAATCCTAAACACTGCTAGGAATGACCCCTGAGCACAGAGTCACGAGTAAACTCTCAGTACTGCTATTTGCTCATTACGAAAACAAAAAATAAAATAGAAGAGAGACTCACTACCACATCTACAAGACACAGACTTCCAGTACAAATATGAATTTACTTTCAGCCTTACTGTGGGATTCAGACTTATGCTGTGCACAGAATGAATCATATCCGGCCTATGGACTTAGGCTGTAAGTATATATATCATAAATTTCCCACATCTCTAGTTTTCAGATGTCAGTTAGTACTAATTTTAGCCAATCTCAATACTTGTCTGAACTTATTCCATATGACAAATTCAAAATGCATATCTGTATATGTTAATATAGTAAATTAAACCCAATATGCATAAATTACGTATTTTATATATTTACGTTTTGTTACGAAGCTGGAGCTATAGCACAGCTGGTAAGGCATTTGTCTTGCACGCGACCAAGCCGAGTTCAATTCCTCTGCCCCCTCTTGGAGAGCCCGTCAAGGTACTGAGAGTATCTCGCCTGCACAGCAAAGCCTGGCAAGCTCCCCGTGATGTATTTGATATATCAAAAACAGTAATAACAAGTCTCACAATTTGTTGTGAGATGTTACTGGCGCCCGCTTGAGCAAATCGATGAACAACGGGAGGACAGTGCTATAGTGCTACAGTGCAAGTTTTGTTACACTTTCTATATTTTGTGAAATTATATGTATCTTAAGTAGTATTGTGCACGTAAATGAATCATGTCCTTATGTTAAAACAAAACCCAAACTATTTTTAAAGGAAAAAAATGGGGAAAAAATTGTAACCATAAGTTAGGCACATATTTCATTCTTAACTATAATGCCCAAAGCAAAATTCATAAAATATGCCTTGATAAATTAGACTTCAAACTTTAAAACTTCTACTTTTTAAGAGATAGTACTAAAAGAATAAAAAGATGAGGCTATGACAGGGAGAAAATAAATTATATAAGGAACCTCCAGTACTTGATAGTAAGAAAACAATCGAAAATAAAATGCATCAAAGATTAAGTGACACTTTACTAAACAAAGTATGTGATTAGCAAATAACATTAAAATATGCTCTCCATATTTTAAGAAAGGTAAATCACCATTACTACTCTACTACATATTTCTGTGTTACAGGAACATTCAGCATTATCCTAAACCACCTTAAAAATGGTCTGGTCCAAGCACATTAAATTTCACAACTTATAGTGTTGGTATATAATCAGATTAAGACAATTTCTCTAGTTTTGATATTTTTTGTATTCTTAATAGTTCTTAAAACCACTACAAATTGCATTTTGTATGCTTCAAATACCAGATTTTTTGATACCAAGAACAGCATTTGTGGTACTTCTTTTACTGTCTATCTACCTATCTATCAATCTATTTATCTACCTATCTACCATCCTATCTGTCATCTCTATGTGGGTTGATAGATACAGTGTTTCTTATACATTGGTTATGTATCATTGGTTATACTAATTCATGGAGCTCTCATATGGATTTGAAAACAATATGTATGTGTTAAAAGACAAAGGGCTGGCTTGGGAAAGTTGTATTTATTGCCTTAATTGGAAATTTAATTTCTGTCACCTCTTCTATATAGAGTTTTGGTATAGGCAATTGAAGTCCATGCAATCTTGGGCCGGAGCGATAGCACGGCGGGTAGGGCATTTGCCTTGCATGCAGCCGACCCGGGTTCAATCCCCGGCATCCCATATGGTCCCCCAAGCACCACCAGGAGTGATTCCTGAGTGCAGAGCCAGGAATGACCCCTGAGCATCGCTGGGTGTGACCCAAAAAGCAAAAAAAAAAAATCCATGCAATCTTAATAACATTACAGTGGTATAACCAGTGACTTGCCCTGTAATATGAAAGAAGTTACTTAGAGGTAGAGTAGGTGATAGGGACTGGGTAGATCCGAATTGTTTCCCACAGATCTCTTTTCTAAAGAAAACTCATTTAGGGATACCTTTGCCTGGGAAGATTTAAACTTAAGCTGTGACATAGCAATCTGTTTTACTCTCACCTGATTTTGGTGTGACTTTCAGCTGCGGAAGGAATGGTGTGTAATCGTCTGTGTTCCAGTGATGGCTGTTGGGGACCTGGGCCAGACCAGTGCCTGTCATGTCGCCGTTTCAGCAGGGGACGGACCTGTATAGAGTCTTGTAATCTCTATGACGGGTGAGAATATCACATTTTTTGTCATAAATTGTAAGATATTTTATGCAGATATATTCACACGTCTGTGTGTGTGTGTGTGTGTGTGTGTGTGTGTGTGGGTGTGTTTGAACCGTTTGAAGCACATGCAGCAGTATTTAGGGCTTACTTCTGGCTCTGTGCCCAGGGATCATGGTGAACAGGTCTTAGAAGACCATCTGTAGAGCAGGGATTGAACCATCCTTATTCATATGCAAAACAAGTGCCTTAACATCTATAATGAATCTCCTACCTGAAATTTAAGGTATCACATTTAAAAGTTTAAGATTCAAATAAAAAATACAGGAAAATGATAAAGTTCCACAATGCATATTCTCTCAAGCATTTGTTTTTGTTGTTTTGAGGCCTTACTCCTGACTCTGTGCTCAGGAATCATCCTGACAGTGTTCAGGGGGCCATATTTGGTGCTAGGGATCAAACCCAGGTCAGTTTATACAAGAAACATGCTGGATCTGCTTTACTATAATTCCTGATTGCTTCAACATTTTTAAAGAAATCTTTCCATTGTATAAAGGAAACAAACCATGCATAATTATTTAAGGAGAAATAATTTAATTTGAAATAAAAATCCTGTATGTGTTTTGTGTGCGTGGCTGGAGCGATAGCCCAGTGGTAGGGCGTTTGCCTTACAAGCGGCCAACATGGCCGACCTGAGTTCGATTCCTTCGCCCCTCTCGGAGAGCCCGGCAAGCTACCGAGAGTATCTTGCCTGTACGGCAGAGCCTGGCAAGCTCCCCGTGACGACGTACTCGATATGCCAAACACAGTAACAACAAATCTCATGACGGAGACGTTACTGGGCCCACTCGAGCAAATCGATGAACAACAGGAGGACCAGGACCGTGATGTGTTTTGTGCACATTTTTGCAAAGTGTGCCAAATAGGTTGAAAACATGCTTAAGCAAATTTAAAATATACATTATGATTTTCCAGTATTATTGTCCCTCTCATATGATTCTATTGTCTTTATTTCCTCATTATTTTGTGTAGTTTTATCTATAATTTGGTATATGTATAATTTTTTTCACATTCAAACTGTGAGTCTATTTGATTGTGTTTTAGGAAAGAAACATTTTTATGTATGACAATTGCATAGCTCTACAGAAAAACTCATTGTGATTTCTATTTGGGCAGTTTTTGTTAAGTGTTCTACCATTTTCTAAAAATAACTGAGTAGATGTTTTATGTCGGGTATTTTAAATTCCTTCTGGTACTATAATAATCACATTACAACAATAAAATCTAGTTTATGCCTTGTTGCATGACTTTTCACATACACATAAAATCACTTTATCATAACATGCCATTTCATGCATCACAGTTGTCCTTCATTAGGGTGATAATGCAATTTAGTGTTGTTCCTTTGTCAGATTCCCTTCTATTGGTTACTGGAAGAATTTATGAAAGCTTTGTAAAAGTATATATTTGTAGTTCTTTAATTCCTTCTTCTAGCATGCGAATTATCATATTTTGACCAGTTTCCAGCATTGTGCATTTGCATTTCACATCAGGATAGAAATCCATGCATCCTAATGATAGTTTTAATTCCCATCTAAAAATTAGCAAAACCAATTTCTTTCATGAAATTTTATAGAATAAAATTAAATAATTTACCTTCAGAAATGGGCTGGAGCGATAGCACAGCGGTAGGGCGTTTGCCTTGCCTGCACTCAATCCGGCCGAGCCAGGTTCGATTCCTCCACCCCTCTTGGAGAGCCTGGCAAGCTACCGAGACATATTCAATATGCCAAAACACAGTAACAACAAGTCTCAAAAATAGAGATGTTACTGGGCCTGCTCGAGCAAATTGATGAACAATGGGAGGACAGTGACAGTGACAGTGACAGTGACCTTCAGAAATTGTGGTACATGTCTTGCTCACAGTTATCCCCAATTTTATAGTCAGAACAACATACTCTGTCATGCACTGCACTGCCCTGGAAACAAACCAAAATCCCAAAATAAAATAAAGGAAGAATTGTGTTTTTGTTTTCTTTTTGTGTCACATCCGCCAATGTTCAGGGGTTACTCCTGGCTCTGCACTCAGGAATTACTCCTGGTAGTGCTTGGGGGACCATATGGGATATGAACCTGGGTTTGCCATGTGCAAGGCAAACACCCTACCTGCTGTGCTATCACTCCAGCCCCATGGAAGGATTTTTTTAAATAAAAGTCTGATGTGCTTCTTGCCTGCCCAGTGTTAGATTCCTTATTTTCAATAGTATTGACTAATTTCTCACAAAAAAATACTTAGTGATTAAAACAGGCTTTTTGAAGGAATGTATTCAGATACCAATTTTATTATTTTATGGTTTAAATGGTCAACCTTGGGTTAAATGATTTAATTATTCTAAACTTGAGTTTCTTATAAGGAAAGGGAAGTAATAATAGTGTCAACTTCACAGGGTAGGATTTCTTATAGGGAAATGGGAGAAATAATGGTGACAGGCTATACATCATCAGTTGAGATGATACATAAGAAAGTTATTTTTAGATTGTCTACCACTAAAATAACCATTGCCTTTATGGGTCTGTTATTAAATTATTAAAACAACACTCACCTATAAAATGACAGAAAGCTTGAGCACCATTAGGAGTAACCCTAAGCAAGTAGTAACTCTGAACATTGCAGGTTATGGCCCAAACTCCTGCCTCCTTGACCTCATAATAAATGCAGAAATAAAAATTTGTGTCATTTACCAAAATTAGGGAGACATTTTATATATAAAATACATTGATGACCATTGAAACAGAAATTTTAAATGAAGTTTCTGACAGAGAAAAGAACTGTCATTTCTTCATTGTTAGTGTTTAAATCTAGGTCATACAAATCAGAAATCTCAGATTATTTCTGATCTAAAAAAGTAGTTCAATTCTTTGAAACTTTAATAATAAGGAAATATAAAAAAATGTCAGTATAAGCTTTGTACAGACATTCTTCTATTTAATCATCATTGTTTCTCTTGGAAAAAATACTGCTCTTTTACCAAAAGCACTTAAAAAACAGGCTAGAGAAGTGAAGACATATACTCCTAGCATTGGTGCTGGGATATAATTTGAGAAAACTGAGTTTCAAAGCATTTGATCATGATCAATAATTGGCCAAGATTTAAAGCACAATCACAAAACTTCACAGGAATATATAGCAAAAATGCAAGTGACCAATAACACAGTATGCAGAACTGGATACTGTGTTCAGTAGATCCGGTTTTTTAGGTTACATTCAAGGGTTAGGGAATCTGTGGAAAATTCACAGTAGAATCACTAGGAAACAAATAAGAAAAAAACAAATATTAGGAATACAAAAAATAAAAAATAGAAGTAACTAACACTACAAAGAGAAGCTGTTCTGAGAATAGAAAAGAACAAAGTCAGAAGACCCATTAATGGAATTTTATGGGGAAAAGGCAATTAGATTTTCTGCTTCATTTTTTAAAAGCACCTATTCATTCCATTCTAAAATAGTGTGTATAGGGAATAAGACCTTGGGGTGAGGGGGGAGAAAATAAAGGTAGAGTGGCCAGATAGAATACAACCAGGCTTAATTCCTATACCACATGATTGTCTAAGCATCATTAGATATAGCCATGGAGGCCACAAAGGATCATAATGCAGCCCTGAAAATCCCAGCACCACTGCAGTGGACAGGTAAGCCTAGCAGTGCAGGCCCTGGGGAGCCCACATCCTCAGAATAGCTTGTATGGGCCCTTTGACTCCCTGAGTAACACCGCCTCCTCTAAAAAGTAAATAAAATAAAAGCAGGATATAGGTTTTGGTATCAGAATTTTTGACCTTTATTTAATAACACAACCCTTTGTTTACCCAAGAAATTATATATTACGTACCTTGTTGATGATTGTATGCATTACTATTACTATAATCTAATTTCCAGAGATCAATAATGCTTTTGGCTCTCTCTTCAATTTAGTGACTGAGCAGTCACTCTTGCCAAAATACAAGGTCATTTTGATCTTTGTGTTTTTGAAATTTACTTCGTTGAGTACTTTATACCACTCATGCTGGTGAAACTTGCTAAAGAATTTGTGCTTATGGAACCTTTTAAACAAAGGAAAAGTCATGAAAAGTTTATGTCAAAACTCATCACTTCACTTTAAAAAATGAAAATTCCATAGAACTAAACACACATATATATTATGAAGCCATCCATTCATGCTACATATTTTGGAAAACCAAGCTTAATTATTTTGACTTTGAGTAGACATAGTCTTAATTAAATAAACAGAAAAGAAAAGGTTTGTACTCCTATTATTTATCTAGGTTTTACATGAACTCATCTTCTATATAAAAAATTAGTAAGTCAGTATGACAAAGAATAAATTTAAATTTATTACTGAACTAATACACAATTGCCATGTTTTCTATGTATTAGCTTATAATATATGGATATGGTAATTAAATGAATATAAATATTTAGTCAAATTTTATTAATGAGGGTCCAGAGAGATAAAATCATGGGTTATGTGCCTGTCTGGCATGCAGCCAATCATGGTTCAATCCCTGCACTACAGATGATCTTCAAAGCACCACAGAAGCAACAGCATCACCAGGTGTGCATCAAAAAACAAACAAACAAAATTCCAATAATGACCTTAAAGTAATATTCTAGATTTTCTTTACTCAGTACTTTAATTCCTTGTATTTTGTGGCAAAGATTTTATTAAAACCTAATGTATATGGCAAATACCTAATTTTTCAAATCAAAATTTTTATTCACTACTTATTGAAAAATGTATATGTTGATAATATTTAGTATCAAACTAGATATCAAATGGAAGGTCCAGAACTCAAATAATCATCATCTCTCTTCTAATAATTAAGTTATAGAATGGTTCCATCAGACTGTTTTGGTTTCTTTTTAAACAATAGAACTGCTTCAGAAAGAATTTAAAGGAAATAACATATAGAGATATTACATAAATAGCTTAAGATAATCCAACCACCACACACAAAAAAAGCGTTCTTTTATTTTTATTTTTTAAAAATCTCCAAGGCAGGTACTATAAAAGAAGAAATGAAATCAAAAACTTTTTGAAGTTTTAACAAAAGAGAAATTAAAGAGTCTTGGGATTTGAAGGACAAGTTTGCGGAATATTCTTGTGACTTAAAAACAAGGAAAATGTCATAGTTCTTTCAAAGTTTACAAAAATTAAGCTGCATTCAGAAATATTTTATAGAGAGACAAACAGGCATAGTTTTACTTTAGAAAGGTAAAAATAGTTCTGCTGCATCATCAGAAAAATCATAACTTTTTTTTTAAAGAGTATCTCTCACAAGAGAGAGGTTTTCTGAATGAGTGTGTCATAGAACCCAGAGAGGGCACGCAGAACCATCTGGCTGCAGTTTATCTTTTCTCCTAATGGAGAACTTATTCCTTAATGTACAGGAAAATGATTCTGATGCTCCTGGCACATAGAGAAACAGACTCCAGAATATATTCTGCCAATAGTACTTTTAGCAGATGTTACTCCATTTGTTATGTTGACAGCTTGTTTGCACACTGCCTGATGCAGCTGATGTTTTCACAGTGAATTTCGGGAGTTTGAGAATGGTTCCATCTGTGTGGAATGTGACCCCCAGTGTGAGAAGATGGAGGATGGTCTCCTCACCTGCCATGGACCGGTAAGCCTGAAAACATCTGTGGTCATGTTGGCTTATTCATGTATGAATGTTTCTTGTGTCATTGTTTTATTGTTCATTCATCCATTCAATAAGCATTTGTAGTGAACTATAGGGAGTCTTGGTTGACATGTCGTGGTTGACATGTTAGCCTCAAGAGGCTTACAGCTTAGTAATAGAGATGAAATATTTTAAGATTAGATTTCTCGAATATGTGTGTCCAGATAATATATTTAAAAAGAAGACATGAAGCTATCTCTGAAGATTTCACAGCATTAAAAGAAAAGGAAGAGTATCAAGTAATGAAACTAAAGAGAACAATTATTTAGATTCAAATATATATATAAATTGTACAGAAACTCAGTGGGAGAATAAAATAAATGTATCTTTGTGATGGAAATTGGAGCATCAGGAAAGGCACTAGGAAGTGTTGGAGGAGAATCTTGAATGAGGAAACTAAGAAATGCAAATGTGAAAGTTCATGTTGTGTTTGAAGTAAAATTTAACAAGTAATTAAGTCTAGTCGTATTGTGAAGGACAGTGGAAAGAAGAAAAAGGAGGAATTATAAACTAAATTCGTAGGCAGTGTGATAAACATCAAGGTAGAGAGAAAACCTGAGCTGTGAGAATCAAAGCAAAGGCTATTGAACCAGGAAAGTTTTCATGCATAAATTGGCATTAAAGCAGTTTTTAAATAGTTTTCCATAGGAAATGATAATTATATATTTAGACCTTCCCTTTGGCTCCCATCATTTAACTTTCTCTTAATAATGAGGTCAAGTATGATTTTGTCATTCCAAAGTGTCATATTCATCCTTCTTTAGGCAAATTTCCAGTTTATTTGTGTATTAACTCATCTTGTTGATAATTTGGGGATCAACATTGGGGTTTAGACAAGAGCTCAATATTGCTCCATAAGAATTCATTTGAAAATTAAATAATATTAATTTTCTACCAGAGTGCTTATTCAGCACTTAATTAGCTTAGAAAAAATATCATTGAGCCCTCCAAACTTCCATTAGGCCCCAATGAGCTGTTCTGGAACTTCATCTAAAGAAGGATGTGGAAAACTTGGACAGTTCAGAGGACTACCACAAGGATGATTAAGCTTGGAAAATCAGACCTCTGAGAAAAAGAAGTGGTGTGATTTGGCATGAAGAACCAAAGTCTAAAAGACATTTTAATATGTAATAATCTCCAAGTAAGTATGCAAAGGGCATATGTAGCTATATTCGTTCTCCACTAAGGATAGTAATGAAAAATACATTTAATCTGCAGCATGAGAAATGTGGATTCTTTAAAGTCGTTGATTAAACTCTGGGAAGTAAAATTCTATAATAGAATTCAGCTATTTATATAAAGACATTATCAAAGCTAACATTTTTGGTATATTTTTGATCACAACTCATGGTCAGTGTCTTTCAGAGAGATTGAGACTTAAAGATTTCATGATTAGAAAAATCAAGGATGTGTTCATTTCCTCTGAACAAGGCAAACTGCAAAGCAGCTTCCTATTTTCTATCCATATGCTGCTTTTAAGTAGAAAATAGTGCTATTAAGTGACTAACTTAATATTTTCAAATGCATATATTTTTCAAAGCTTACATGTTCATTCATTTGTATCTTGATAAAATTGAGGGAGTTTATATTTGTTTGAAAAGTTAGTATACCTACAATTTAATAATCGCTGCTGGGGCTAGAGAGCTAGGACAGCAAGCAGGGTGCTTGCCTTGCATGTGGCAGACATGGTTTTAATCCGTGGCATCCCATATGCTACCCAGGAGTGAGCAAGGAGTAAGTCCTGAGTACCAAAGTGTATAACCCCTAAACAAAAAGAAAAAACAATAAATTCAGTCAAAAAATACAAATAGGTGTTTAATGAACACTTGTTGATTCTGCGATAGCAGTGTTGTTAGTCATTAAAAATCACCATGCGCCACCAGGAGTGATAGTTCAAGAGCCAGAGCACACATAGGAGACTCAGACTCCATCCATCCCTGACACTATGATCCCTGAGCACCTTAAAGCCTGATCTCTGAGCACAGAGCCAGAAGTAGCTCCTAAGTACAACTAGATGTGGTCCCAAACATTCTATCTCCCCACCAAAATATCACTACCCAGGGGCAAAATTGTGATTAGAGAAGGCAATAATTTAGAAGTAGAAAATGCTTTATTTCGCTTAAGTAGGCATCTGTGACAGATCAATGCATGAGGTCAAGTCAACTTAATTATTTGATGAGGAAGACTTTAAATGCTAAGTAGTTTTGAACCCAATGTTATTTGGAGTGTGACATCTGCAAAACTGTGCGTTCAAATCATAGCCTGGACTCTGCTCCAATTAGTCGGTTGTTTGCTTTTAGCAGTTACAGTTTATATTAAGTTGTTGTCTATTTCTGTGCTCACATATTGATTATCACAAATAGAGACAGAGGTGTTTTGGGGTGCTCTGTGTCAGACATAAACTACTTAAAATATCTGAAAGATTCTGGAACGTCCTCAATGAGATTGCAAGCATTCATGGAGAGAGGGAAATAAATCATAAAGCTAGTTCACTTTTCCACGCAATATTAAACATTCTGTTGTTAGTGGTCATATTTTTCTGATCTGGCAATTATTTAATAAGTCTTAAATATCTATATGTATTAAATTGAGTTATATGCTAAAATGTGATTTTTTACATTTAATTTACATTTTTAATCAATTGAACATATGATATTTAAAAAAGGTTACTCCATAACTCAGAAAGTCTATATGGAGGGAGGATTTAAAAAGCATATTTTACATTCTTTTTATTTCACTTTTTTTTCTTCACAAGTAACAATGTCTATAATACAATATGGATGAAATACTTTCTGAAACTATGATAGCTGTATGTAAAATGGGATGGTATTATCCTACTTAAATGTGACAGAAATCCAGAATAATCTTGAGAGGGATAATTTGAAACGAAGGAGGACTCCACTTTTATATTCTTATTTGCACTTGGTCTCCTTTATATCCTTTCTTTTCTTTACTTTCTTTTCTCTTTTACAATTTTATCCTGTCTGCTTACTTTCACTGCTCATTTGCAGTGACATCAATGTGAGATGAAGAATAACAAGACAAATTAGGAAAAGTTGTAGAAGACCAAATATAAGCCAGGGAGGCCGAAAGAGAAAAGAGGAGACAGGGGGAGGAGGCAGACTTTAAAAATGCTTTTTTTTTTTTTATAAAACCTAAGACAGCTATTAAAATCAGTCCAATAAAGATTCTGCTGACTTTACAGCCTAACTTGCAAAAGTAATGTGTAAATCCTTTTCATGTAATACATAGTCTAAGTCTGAGAAACTTTCTTAGACAATTTCCTTCACAGTGATTTTATAGTCGTTCAGGCTGCTTTGAGCTTATGGCACCCCAACCTCTTCTGTGGGGTCCCTACATGATGGCAGCGGGAATGGGAGGCATTTGCACTTTAGCACTGGTGGTCTCATACATAAAACATTCTATCTAATGTCATTGTCCAGAGAAAAACAGGTCGCACCTCTCATGTAAAGTCTAGTATAGTCATCTCTATGACTGAAGTAGAAGAGAATGGGATATTGGTGAATAGTAGTTTTGTCTCTTAATGTAGATACCAGAGAAAAACATCAATTGCCTAAAGGAATTAGGTGTAATTTTTCTATTAGGATTTAGTCTGTCCTTTAGTTGTCTGTAGTGAGTCCAATATTCTTTAATTTAAAATTAGAGACAAAGACTAATGCTGCTTTCACCTGTGTTTTCTGCTATTGCATTTATCTGTTCACTCACTGCACCTAGATTCATAATAGCTTCATCATCTATGATAGTAAAGTAAGCAATAGACTTACCTATATCGTTTTAAACTTTTGTATTATGCAAATGAGATGAAATTCAGTACATTTCATTCCTTTTGAAAATGTTCAGGATGTTTTTCAATATGTCAGCTTAGGATATTTGGTTTTGTATCCTGACACTACAGTCAAATACAAGAATCTTTAGAAACAAAGATACTCAAAAGTAAAATTCTAAAGTACACTCCCAGATAAACTATTGATTTATTTTATACATTTTATATCTTCTGATTTTATTTGGACATTCTTTTATATATCAAGAGTTTTTATATAAAAAATCAAATTCTGCCTATTACCTAATTTACTCAGAGCATATTTTGCAATAAATTTTATATGTTCCTTGTCTTGTACAGTGAGTGATGCCACTGAGCAGACTTGCATAGTAAATAATTTTGTTTAATAGACAGCATGCCAGTATCTATAAGCAGGTGTTAACATTGGAAACATATGAATTATTCTCTTTTTTATGTATGAAGTAAGAAAAAAATTTTGACAAGAGAAAACCTCAGTTTAAACCGAATAATTTTTTGCACTCTAAGTCTCAAGTCAAAATAGTGAAATAGGTGCCCAGTGGATCTCTCCTGTCTCCAGTTATCAAAGACCCTTCCCCTGAATTACATTTTGTTCTTGATACCATGCTTCTTCATTAGCATCCCTGATCTTTAATCTGTAAACATAAATATTACATATTTCTATTTTCTAAAGCTTTATATTACCGACATGAAATGTTGGTTGCTTTTGGAAAACCTTTAATGTACTCCCCCAAATGTATTGATTCTTACACACTAAACTTAATAACTGGTATTTGGCATATTGGGTACACCATGGGGAGTTTGCCAGACTCTGCCGTGTGGGCAGGTTACATTCGGTACCCAATATGCCAAATACCAGTAACAATGATGGGTCTCATTCTCCTAACCCTGAAAGAGCCTTGAATATGGCACTTTTTAAAAAATCTCAGGGCTAGGACGAAGGAGACGTTACTGGGGCCTGCTCGAGGCAATCGGCGAATAACAGGATGGTCATGATTGTGATCGTGAAACTTAATAACTAACTATCTAAAATATGTCTCTGTTTTTCTTTTCTTTCCAAATATGTTCTATAAGTTACCCTATACTTAGTTATCCAAGTTGTGTTTGATATGCACTCTATCTTTTTTATCCAAGTTGTGTTTGATATGTACAATTATACTTGTTGAAACCCTATGGATATAGATTTGAGGGAGAAGTAGAAAAGAAAAGTTTGTGGGAAGAAATGGAAAAGAAATAAGAAATGCTAAGAAACATGATGCTCAAGAAGTGTCTATTGTGATTGTTTTTAATTATACTTTTTATGACATTTAAGTAGAGATACTCAGATTGTCTCTAATTAACAATATATGTGATGAAATCTTGTATCATAAACAAATGTATGAGGTGACTCAGTCAGTTATATGTAAATTTCCAGTGCTCATTTCTACATTGTTTTTCATTCTTGATAATTTTTCCCATAAAGTATTATTTTATAACTATCTACTTTAATGTAATTTTTAAAATTTGTTGTCATAATACATCTTTATAAGACCTCTCACATTATTTGAGTTTTAATAGTAATGTCCTATAGCACTGACCTCCCCCTGTTCATCAATTTGCTCGAGCAGGCACCAGTAATGTCTCCATTGTGAGACTTGTTACTGTTTTTGGCACATAGAATATGCCACGGGGAGCTTGCCAGGCTCTGCTATGCGAGCAGGATACTCTCAGTAGCTTGCCATGCTCTCTGAGAGGAACAGAGGAATTGAATTTGGGTTGGCCGCGTGCAAGGCAAACACCTTACTAGCTGTGCTATTGCTCCGGTCCTGAGTTTTAATAATGTCCCACAAATAGAATATAATTTTTAGCACAATTACAGGCTGATTTAAGACCCACATAAACTGTCACTGTGACTGTCCTCCTGTTGTTCACAATTTTCTCAAGCAGGCCCATGAATGTCTCCATCATGAGACTTTGTTGTTACTGTGTTTGGTATATCGAATACATCACAGGTAGCTTGCCAGACTTTATCGGGTGGGTGAGATACTCTTGGTAGTCTGCCGGGCTCTCCGAGAGGGCCAGAGGAATCGAACTTGGGTTGGCTATGTTGGCTACGTGCAAGGCAAACAAACTACCCACTGTGCTATTGCTCCAGCCCAGCATAAACTTATAGTGGCTAGCATAAACTAAAAAAATTATTTATTGTCTAAACACCCTGATTCCTGGCAATCTAAATGTAGAAAAAATTAAAGTTCCAATCGACATTACACAACTAAAGCAATGTTTATATCTCACTCTTAATGAAATTCATTGTAACCTATTTTCTTTAATATCCTGTTCCTCATTAACTATTTCATAAGAATGCTCACATATGTTTATTGTGATAAAATGATCTGAGAGAGAGCACATTGTTTCTAATTATTTCTGTATATCAATAACATCAAAATAAATGACTGAAAGAAAATGCGGAGTCCTATAGAAAAGGTGTCCAATATTTTTGCTAAATGATGTATTCGATCTGCCAAACACAGTAACAATTGTCACAATGGAGATGTTACTGGGTCCGCTCTAGCAAATCGATGAACAACGGGAGGACAGTGACAGTGACAGTGACAGAGAATCTATAATACTTGTACCTCTATTTGTACTGCTGAAAACATCTACCAGTTCCCAAGTTTAGCCACCAGCTGAGTCACGTTTGGTAAATCAGACTATTTCCCAGAGGAAATTCCAGCGATGTTTTTATTTTGCTTTATTTTTCAATCCTTAGGGACCTGACAACTGTACAAAGTGCTCTCACTTTAAAGATGGACCAAACTGTGTGGAAAAATGTCCAGATGGCTTGCAGGGTACAAATAGTTTTATTTTCAAGTATGCTGACCAGGATCGGGAATGCCACCCATGCCATCCAAATTGTACTCAGGGGTAAGCAAGCTTTTTGCTAAGTGATTCACAAAAAGTAAAATGCATATCTTTATCCTTGCTACTGTCTCTTAGATATTAATATTCTCATGCAAAACTGTATTCTACTTAAAATTTGTTCTTAGAAAAAGTTATTTCTAAGGGTTCATATTTTATGAATGAAAAACAAGTCATATTTATAATCTCAAAATATTTTTAGTCAACATTAACTTTAACCATTTTTAACACCTCTGTGGAACCTATTTCAGCTATAGTTTGTTTCATGGATCTGAGAAATTCTTTCAACTTTGAGTGGGTACTGAATATGAGAAATGACAAAATAGGAATCATACCTCTAAGATTTGTAACACATTTTTTTTTAACAGAAGCGTCTCTTTCAGTTTTTTTTAATTAAGTTTCTAATGGAAATTGTTTATTTCTCTTTATTTTTATATCCTGCTTAAAGTAAATACCTCTTTTAGATAAACAATGCCTCAGGTAAAGCTTTAACAAAGTATAAGTAAAAGCAGTGATTTCAGTGGAAAAATGTGGTTTTATAGTCATAATATTTCAGTTAAATTTTATACATGTTATTTAATTATATGTTAACCAATAAGGCAGAATTGAATTGATATAGGATACTATTATGAGTACACATTTTTTAAAAAGATGCATTTTAAAAAGAATAATTATTATGTTATCTTTAATAATGCAAATATTTTCAACAAAAGCATTCCACATTCTGTTAACTATTTTGTCCATAAAACCTCTTCTCTGCTATGAGCACACACATGCATGCAAAAACACATGTGCAACAGGTATTCTCAACACACACTTGTTGAGGACTATTTCTATCAGGGGAGTAGACATGATATTCCATTGAAAACAACAACAACAAGGATTTTCTGCCAGTTTAAGGGCTAGTTATTAGAGGATTTTGAAGAAGTTAAGCAAACAGAATCATTTTCTGCCAAGAGGACATTGATTTACAGATGCTGCCACAATTTCCTGCAGGTCAAGAAATCACTTTAAGTCACTCTGTGAAGTGGCAGATCATCAAAGGTAAAGTAATATTGTGCCATTCAAATTCAAATTCAGTTCAGAAGAGCTAACATCATCTCATTGGATTAGACATAAGCACGTAGGTTGAAGATCTTAAACTAGTCACTTTGCTTCAAGGAAACTGAAAAAAATAGATTAGTCCCCTTGAGAGTTAGGTGCGCACTTGAGTTCAGAGTATTTCATGAAGGAAAACTTGCACTGCTGGTGCGGGAGGGAGAGTCAGTAATGGAAAGAGAAAACTTTACTTGCTAAAATAATCATCCACAGAGGGTTTTATTGTTTTGCAGCTAAAATTAAACCAGTAAATTATTCAATATAATGTTGATGTCAACAGCTGTTGCCATCAAAATGAGACCTTTTGCTGTTTCTGCAAATCTAATTACAACAAAGCCATCAGGGAAATGAAAGCGAGATCACAGATCTATAGTCTCGATGTGTGACTTGTATGTCTTCATACCCTTTTAAATAAAGATTATATAATCACTCTAATGAAAACATATAGTGGAGGGAAATATAAAAGACAATAAAGAGATCAGTTTACTGTAACAAAATTTTGGCTGTCACTCTAAAGGGAGTATGGGGTATAATAGGCACAAATCTCATAGTATCACTGGGAACTCCAAGTAAATACAATATTGTCTTTAAAGACACTGGTGCAAATATGGTTAGACACACCTTGATTGCTCCACTCCCTAGAATCTTCCAAGATAAAGAGATTCTGTAATGTCAGACTTAGGTCCGAATAGGTGTTTATTTGTGTTCACTTAGCTTTCTGTTTTTCATCCTTTTACAAAAGTTCTCATTATTACACAGGTTTACACACTTCAGAAAAGTGCTGTAGTTTGAGCACCAGAAAGAATTCCACAAAAGTGGAGCCCCTAAATTCCCATTTTCTTTCTATCTTCCTGAGTTGAAATGCAGCACTGTGCTTTCTGATTCCTTAGTAAATAATAAGGTCTGGTAGCAGCATGGAGATAAGATCCTTCCCTATAAAGTTCTCACCAGCAGAGGGATGGTAGGACAAGTCACTGGTCTGATTACTAAACCCTATCAATAAGCTTGAGCTCCTCAGACCACCTCCACTTTGGAAAGTGACATTTCTTGTATATGCCAATATTATGTGAGATAGATAATTCGAGAGCCAACTTAATGGAAATAGACTTTCAAATCACACATTTTTTAGAATGAAAGTTCTTACTTTGAATTCTATTTAATGATTTTTTTGAAAATAAAATTATCTGTGTAATACGTTAAAAGCACTTTTACTACTGTAAAAGTACATTAAATATATTGGCTCTAATAAGTTCTTAGGATAATTTTTAAATAGATTATCCATTTAACACCTATCAGAAAATTCTCACTAATACTCCTAGAGGAAAAAGGAATAACATTCCCTTTGGCCTAAGCTAGAGAACTATTATTATAGCAGCTTTTTCTCATTTTATTCATTCTTCAACTTTGTGTCATATGTATTCAACTTCAAAAAAGTTCTTTTGAACAAACTTATATGCTTTCAGTATACTTGATAACAGAAAGGAGTGAGATAGAACTCTTCACCATTAGGAATTTAAATTACCATCAATTTCTATTCTTACATTTTAGATTCTTCCTTTAGAGATTCTTATCATGAAATTTTATTTTATTTTGTTTGGGGGGCCATGCCTGACTGTACTCAGGGCTTACTCCTGGTTCTGTGCTCAGGCATCACTCTGGCCAGGGTCTGGGGACTATATGGGGTGCCTGTGATAGAACCCAGTTGGCTGCAGGCAAGGTGAGTGCTCTACCAGCTATGCTATCACTGCTCCACTATCATGGAATTTTTATTTTTATTTTTTATTTATTTATTTTTTTGCTTTTTGGGTCACACACGGCAATGCTTAGGGGTTACTCCTGGCTCATGTACTCAGGAATTGCTCCTGGCGGTGCTCGGGGGACCATATGGGATGCTGGGAATCGAACCTGTGTTGGCCATGTTGGCTGCATGCAAGGCAAATGCCCTACCTGCTATGCTATCGCACCAGATCCTATCATGGAATTTTTAAACAACAAGCAAGAATTTAAAACTGAACAGCTATTTTCATGTTTGGAATTATCAAATTGCAAGGGGTATTTTATTTGTTTTTATTGTTGTTGTTGTTTGAGGGTCCGTATTCAGAAGTGTTCAGGTCTTACTCTTGACTCTGAGATAAGGGGATTGCTCCTGGTGAGGTTTGGAGGCCACACTGACTTTTGGGGATAGGCCCCTGGTCATCTGCTTACAAGGCAAGCTCCCTACCTGCTGCGCTAGAACTCTGGCCCCAAGGTGGCAATTTTTAAGAGGACATATAAACTTAATTTTACATGCAATTAAGTAAATAGAAATAAAGTCTAGAATTATGTCTTCCCCAATATCAACTTTGTTCATGATACTTGTCAATTTTAGATGTAAGCCATGGAATGAGGTATTTACCTTATAAGGTATCTCTAAAAATCATATTAAAATGACAATAATTGCTATTATATTTAATGACTAAATTTAATTCATAACAATGGCTTAATAAGTAGTTCATATTTTTATTAATATGGCAATAAAATTTTATTGGTGATGATAAGGAAAGGATTCCTTGTGGAATTACTATCTATACTGTTTTAATTGAAAATTTAGTTTCTCTGTTTCACTTTAAAAACTAGAGGACATTTTGTCAAAATATACACTTGTGTTAGTATTACTGGTACAAGGTAGTTTTCTATTAGTAAATGCTAGCAAATGTTAAACATGAATAAATATTTTCAGATGTATTTGAAATATTATGCTCATATGTCATAGTTTATTTTTTCTGAACTTTCTCTAAAGTTTCTGCTTCTAATGCTATTTTTTAAAAAAATATTATTTCATGCTTTCTTTTAGTTTCTCTTCCAGATTTTAATGTTTCTAACACCATAATGAATGTGTCCATCATTTAGTAATCCTGTTAAATAAATTTAAATAGCATGTAATAATTATAGTTACTTATATGTAGAGCATACAAAAATTGAAATGAAGTGTAAATCTTACTAAATTCACTAGCATTTTAAAAAATATCCTACCATTTGTCATACCATTACTTTTGCCTTTTATTTTTCTTTGATCTTAGTTCATAAATATGCTAAAGAAACCACACGATCTCAACATATATTCTTGATTTGATACCTGTCACCTTAGACCCTTTCCTGTTTTTCTAATCTAATCTGTTAATTTCAGTTTGCTTACTGAAGACACAGCAAACTAAATTCTAGTAACTTTCACAATAACAACTTAAAATATTCTAAATAGTTTTCTCTTACTGTACTAGACATCTTGATTTTAATCTATTTTCCCCTCAGTGTTTATTTAGGTATCATGATTTACAATCCACTTAAGAATGACATTTTAAGTATGCAATGCACCAACACCACACTCATCACTGGGAAGGTTTGAGCAGTGTCAAACTCTGCTTACTCCCACTGCCTGTCCCACTCTCATTGGAAACTGCTCTATATATTCTGATTCTCAGATTTTAAAATATAGTTATGATCACTCCTTTTCCCCAAAGTTCTGTTTTGAAATGGCTTCCTTGACTTCCTGTTACCTATCTTGCACATGCCAGAGTCTATATTTTTTTCCACTGACTTCCGAAGCATATAGTCTTCACATTCTAGAATGTTCAGTATTCTTCTTTTAACTTCCCCTATTGCCTCATTTTGTGCTCTCCGACTGGTCACATTCGCTGTCGTTGTCAATATGCAGTCTATGTTTCCTAGCATCTAATTCTTTTTCCTTCTGTTTTTTACCTGCTAGGAATCACTGACATCCATCCTTGATTTCCAGCACTTTAAAAAAAAAATAGTAACCTCACTTTATAAGGGTGAGCAAGACTCTCTGAAGCTGTGCTCCTCTAAGTCACAGTATCTTGTCACCTATTTTATTCGTCACATTATACACATACATCTGTTTATACACCTGTCATCTTCATTAAATTGTGTGCTCATTGAGAATAGCTAAAGTGTTCTAATTCATATTTCCCCCCTTCTAGCTTCTAGAGCACTTAGAAAGCATAAAGCACTCCTTTTCCCTGCTAACTGGATAATATTTTTTATTCCAATCTAAAGTTGAATTTCACCTTATTTATTTATACCTTTTTAAGATTATTATAAAGACACAGATTACAAACTAACTGCAGCTGTATGATTCTTACTTAGAAGAAATGGAATAGACTTTACAAAAATAATTATTGCTAAGTAACAGCGATAGCACAGAGGGTAAGGTGTTTGCCTTGCACGTGGCCGACCATTATTTTGTGCAAAAAAATGACAAGAAAGCCACTTACATAGTAATACACTTATTTATAGTTTCCTGTTTTAAAAATGGTTTAGATCATACATTGTTATCATTTTAATACTGTACTTTATTGTTTTTAATTTATTTATTTAAAAATTCTTTTTATAAAATATTTTCTCCAATTATGTTTTTCCTATACTTTTAAAAATCAACTGCTGGGTTGGGGAAAACTGTTTTCTAATAGAAATGTTATAAAGAATGTTGATGAGAATGGAATTAGTGCAATTATAATTTTACATTGTCATATTAGTTCATCTATGTTCACAGTTAAATGCATAATGAACAACCTGGTTTTACATCTGAACTCTTTGCTATATAATGTTTGAATTTTACTTTTCAGTTTTATTAACTTGAATTAAAAAATACTTTTTATTTCCAGCAAAATTAGTTAGTTCTAAAGTCATCATTGTAAAGGCAATCTATGAATGCACTGGAGTCAAATGACTTTGATCAGAAAAATAAATAATTCAAGTTCACTGGAAAATAAAGAATATATTTTCTAAAATTTTAAAATGATGTTTTGGAAATTATATATTAACATTCTATGCAATATTATAATTTTTCTAATGTATATCTAATGTATTTAATGTACAGTGGATTCATTAACTGGATTTCAACTTATTGATTTTATTTGAGACTATTTTATTTTGTATTGTCAGGCTCAATATTATGGAAGTATAGAAACCTGTCCATTTTTAGTTTTTTGCCCATTTTGCGCTTTTGAAAGGGAGTGTCAGGACAAACGGCACTATGGTTAAACCAGTTATCTTGCTTTATAAACAAATTCGCATTTAAAGATAAGTATGTTTTTGTAATACAGTCACAAGTAAAAAATAGACCAGTGTGAGTATGTAAAGATCCATGAGAATTACATTAAAGTATTTTAACTCATTCTCTGTAAAATTCATTTTCTAATTAAGATTAAGCATCAGTGCGTCTTATATTAAATAGCACATCTTTCTCATTGATCTTTTCTTATTTAAATTTAGGCATTTGGGGAGACTCTTAATATGCAAAACAAATTATAGTGATTAAAATTCCAAGATATATAGTGAATGTTTCAAATGAATTTTACTTATTAGCACTGAGCTACATGTATCTGGAAGATTTATCCACAGTAGCAGAGTAAAATTTTTTTATTGTGGGCCTCTTTCCTTACATGCTACTGGGAAGTTGTAACTCATTTCTGCATGACCATCAAGCAATAAGGCTCTCTCTGGTTTTAAATCCAGGTTATTTAGAAATTGTTTTAATTGTTATTGAGATAATTATGCACTGGGTATTTTTCATCATGCTGATTCTTTTTTAAAAAATGTCTAATCTTTTTTTCCTTGTGTTTTTACAATTTGGATCTTTTGCAGGTGCATAGGCTCAAGTATTGAGGACTGCATTGGCCTGATGGATAGGTACTTGGCGTGCTTGCTTCCCATGTTCTTTCCTCCAGGCTCCATGTGTGAGCACCGTTGCATGTATGTGCATGCCACTGTGAATGGAGAATGATGTTTTCTATTCTGTAATTGCCTGCAGGTGTAGCGGTCCCACTAGTCATGACTGCATTTACTACCCTTGGACGGGCCATTCCACTTTACCACAACATGCTAGGTAACATCTACCATGTTTCCATTTTTTTTTCCATTCAAATTCCCTTCCAGTTATCATAGATAAAACGTACTAACCAGTTGGTTGATAATTCGTGAAATTAAAAAGTTCTGGAGAGATGGGAGACTTAACTTTTCAAGTCACACATTTGTCTCTTCCTTCATTAACATTTGAGATTCCAAATTATTGTCATTCATCTTTAATTTTTTATACTTGAAAATAATTCTAAATTACTGATTTCTAACCTTAATTGAATAGCTTGTTATTAATTCTATAGTTGATTGCAAAAACAGTATTTTATATGAATTGATCTATTTTATATGATATTCATTACTTGATTTGGTTTTATGATTTAATATTCCTTTAAACTGGTTGGTATATGTCCTAGGTTCTAATTTTTAGAGATATAGAAAGTACTTTCTTTAGGTAAAAGTACAAGTTGAAAATTAAAAATAAAAACATATGAAACTTCTTCCTATAAAAACCTGTACTGACTGTGATAGCTTCATTTATAGTCAATCAAAACTTGGAATTTTCATGTTCTTCAGTTGCATTAGATCCATACATTATAACACCTCTCAGCAGTGCAAAGACACAAACTTCTGATATTCACACATGGCTGAATATCAACGGCATTATGCTAAATGAAGTAAGCTAGACCTCAAAGGACACTTTCTATAAGTTTCCATTGACTTGGCCTGTGGAAAAGCTAAAAACAATAGGACATTAAAGTAATTAATGTCACAAGGATCTTTGGGATTAAAAAGATGAGAATTCAAAACAGCTTTAAGAAATTTTGGGAGGTAATAGAATTGTTCTATTTATCTTGATGGTGATGATTGTGGCAACAATGAGCTTGTCATAACTTATAAATTGGTATATCATAAATGGTGAATATAATTCAATAAACCTGATTTGTGAATTTTAGGAAAACAATAACTTTACAATGACAGAACGATTGCTGATTTCTTCATAAAAACAAATTAATTCTATTATTTTCGAAGAAAATAACATTAAAATGAGCAAAATGAGAAGACCAACTATTTATTTATTTATTTATTTTTATGTAGGAGTACTGCTATTTATTCAGCCACTGATTAGCTGATTGAATTGGACCAACTATTTATTTTTAACGTTAACTTTTCTATCCAAGTACACCATGTATAATGTAAGTGATAGGTCCATGAAACTCAGCCAACATAGAGATAGAGACAAATAAAGTGAAGGAAATAGGAGAAGTTGATTGGGGGCGTGGGTGCTCTCTGGCTGAATTACATGAACCTTGGTGAGCCTGGGGTAAAGTGGAACACTGGGAGAGACTAAGGGGGCTTCTAAGTTGCCTTGGGTAGGTAAAGGGGAGAAGAGAACAAAGACCAGTAGAGCAGGTGTGCTTGGTCTGGTCTGTTATCCCCTGTAGGAGATGGGTTTGAGGAAGCATAGGATGCAGCCTGGGGGCTTCCTGTCGCTAGGTGGGCCATAAGTCCCGTCTTCCTCGGTGGAAACAGGTTGATCTCTGGAGAATGCTGCTGTCTCATTACCTGGATGCCATTTGGTCCAAGCATACCTCACAGTAAGATGAAATAAAACAAAAGTATGAAGTTTAGAAATCTTTCCAAATGAAACATTTGTGTAACTAGCAGCTAGATCATGAAACTGAATTAGAACATGACCTCAGAAAATCCTGTCCCATTAAAAAAATAGCCAGTATTCAGAATGCCAACTCCATACATCAATTTCTCTTTTTTACCTTTTCCTCTATTCTTTTTGCACTTTATATTACGTAATATGTACTCTCTTTTTACCTGGCTTCTTTTGCTAAATATATTTATGAGATTTGCCTATATCATTATATTTCATCTCTCTTATACCATTTAGTGATGTTTTTCTTTAACTTTAAAAGTAAGTTAGTGATGTGTCTTAATAAAAAAATTATTTTTATATGAAGTAAATAGAGAAATTGAAAACATAAGTAACAAAACAGTGGCACTTTGACACTTGGGATGTCTAATTGACATGTGTCTAATTAGTATAGTTGTTTAGAAAGGTCAAAATTAGTATATTCTCACTGATATTTTAAAACATCAATGAGAGTGGAGGATTAAGGACAGTATGAAGAAACCCAAATTTTAAAGTATAGTTTTATAGTTAGGTTCATAGGCTTGAGCATTGAAAACTGCATTGGAATTATTCCTTTATCATGAAATCATTTCACTTCTTAAGAATTTATTTGTGACATACCAGAGAGATAGTAGAGATGGTAGGATTTTAGCCTTGCAGGTAACTCACCCGAGTTTGATCCCCAGCATCACCTGTGGTTCCCTGACCCCTGCCCGTGATGATCCCTGAGGGAGAGTCAAGAGTAAGCCTTGAACACTTCTGGATATAGTCTCAAATCAAAAACAAACCAAAAACTTATGCCGAGCACTGTATTATCATTATGATGGTATTGTCGTTATTTGCTTAGTTACATTTATTATAATTATAATCAATGTATGAGGGGCAATATAGCATGGCAGTTAGGTGTGCTATATTTGAAATCAGATTTTCTGAACACAAAAATAGTTTCTACAAGCTTTAGATCTTGAATATTGGATAAATTTTTTAAGTTATCATTTTTTTTCTGGGCCTGGAATCATAATATACCAAATAAAGGGCTTGCCTTGCATGTGGTCAATGTATGTTAGATCCTTAACACCTTATATGGTCTGTTGAACAATACCAAGATTGATCCTTGAGTACACAGCTAGGATAAATCCTGAACACTGCTATGTGTGACCCACCCCCCAATTTTGTAAATGTATTTTTTTCAAGCATAATGGTTATGATAGTATCGTTGACAAATATGTTATGAAACTTGATTGAGTTCATAGAACAGTGTCTAGCCCAGAAAAAAATTATCTACTGTGTTTTTTTTTTGTTTAGGGGTCACACCCAGTGTGCTCAGGACTTACTCTTTTCTCTGCATGCAGGGATCACTCTTGGCAGGTTTGGGGGACAAAATGGAATTTCAGGGATTGAGAATGAACCCAGTTTGACTTCATGCAAGGCAAACTCTAGCCACTGTGCTCTGGTTCCAACCATATGTTATTATTTCAGTGTAGTTCCATGATTGTGAATCTTGGGGATAGAGAATGGCCATCCTTAGATAACCTAGGAATTTTAAGGTATATCATTACCCCTCGGTTTGGTTCAGTGAAGAAGGCTAGGTACTTTCCTTTTTCTTTGTTTTAAGATTACGGTCATTTTAGAGGTCATTAATACCATTGACATTTGTTCATATGTAGATATTGATGTAGAGACAGAAGAGAGGTTTAATAACTATAAGGGTAGATTACTTGTAGTTTTCAATGTTAGCAAGTTACCTCAAATTCACAACATATTTTATGGATTTAATATTCTCAACATTTAAACAAAATTAGTTTGAGAATTTTATGTCCTGTTGCTTTCCTGGGTTTCCAAGCAATAGTTTATAATCTCAACCATCACACCTAATTAAGATCAATTGTATTATGAGTAGGTGAGGATGACCAGCAACTGAGTATAGAGTGCAATTCAGCCTCTCATTCACATGAATGATGACAGGTCCTTAAACAATCAAGAGAGTGTTTTCAGTGTGAACGCCCGTATTCAAGGACTAGCTTTATCATATTTCTCATTTGTGAAGTGGAAACATGTAAAGATGATCATTTAAAAAAATCATAAATATTCAGCACATTGGTGGAAGGATTAGATAAATATTCAGGATCTATTGTCTGGTACTTGCATGTTGGTGGTGCTTATATATCTTGTGGGGAAATATATATGTATGTGTATAGGTGTATATACATATATATCAATATTTTCATGATATATGTATGTATCAATATTTTCATGATATATAAATATATACGTATAACTTTAGTAGAAATACTAACAAAATGATCTCTGAAAATCTCTGAAGGTTTCTTCTAATGCAACATACTATGTAATTGGAGCATTACAATGATAATTTAGTGATTGTGGAGTTATTGTAAAAATTTTCAAGTCTTAGACACTTAGATTTTACATCACAATATGAAGATTTCAAAGAACTAAAGGTAGATAGCCTGTTGACTCTATTAAAAAATGGTCTTTTAATTAGTACCTGTTTTAAACTTTAAAGCACCACATCTCTTTCAATATTATTGATTGTCAGAATTAGTTGATTTAACAGAGGCTGCTTATAAAACAGTTTGAAATTTACATGGAAGATTTAGTTTGGATAATTTGGAAAAGTTTATGAATTTGAAAAGTTGTAAAACACATTTAAAACAAAGTGAAAGTAATATGTATTCCTTTTTTATTGGGGGTGGGGTGGTCCTAAAGGGTGCTGGTGGTATAAAATCTTACCTTCCCTCAACTGGATAGGGACACATTTAACTTAAAGTAAGACACAAGCTCACAAGCTTAATAATTTTTCAGGTAATTTTCCATTTTCAAATTTTATGACTTTTAAAAACTTCTGTCATAATTGATTAAAGTGGACCTTGTATATTAGGAAGACATATATATGTATATATATGTCTGTATATGTATATAAGTATATATATATATACATATATATGGACAAAGTCATGAGAAATGGTAATTGTTTGAAGTTTTGTAAAAATACTTTAGCTGAGAATTTATTCAAACCATAGTTTTCTTTTAGTCAGAGAAAATTACACTGATCACGAGGATGTGGTCATTTTGAAATATTTAGAGTTCATACTCTGCACTGCCCCATTATGCTATATTCTGTTTCCTAAACTAGCAAGAAAATGATTGAAGATTTAAATGAAAACAGGTGAAATGTTTCCAATCTTGACCGACTTTCATTTTCTAAGCAACGTTATTCTTCCCCAAGCCTGCAATTTGTGAATTGGTTTTCCACACTCCATTTCCCTTACAGGCTGCTGCTGGAATTTCTTCCAGAAAAATTGGATGGGATAAAAGAGAAAAAAAATTCAACCTATAGTCTCCTAGAATATGCTATTCATAATGAA